TAGAATCCAGTAATATCCATGTTTGACTTTTTAAAGATATATTTCCTTTCATACACTTACAAAAATTCAAAATTATTTGTATTATATTCACAACTCACAAATACACTATACATATAATAATAATAAAAATCCATGACTGTTTGTGGGACATTGTTGTGCACAATTGGCAGTCATGTTTTGTTTCACCCACAAAATACACACTTTACAATAAATTCTCTGAAGTTCTTTGCTGTAGCAAAATGCAAGGCTTATATATTCATAGATTTAAAAAATTGTTTTTAAATAATTACACAATTATTTATGGGTAGAAACAATCCCACGATCAAAAAATTTGCCCACAATCACATATATCTAGAAATACATGCAGTCACTGAAGAACAAAGCAAGCTTCAAATAGAATCATGTCTAACCACCGATCAGTGCTCTCAAAGCGTATTTGCAAACTTTACATTTTCAGACCTTGAATGCAGCCCACACTCATGCACTTGAACTGGACACATCACCAGCCTTAAATGTCATAACTCACACTCTGCTCACAGGAATTTAACACTTGATCTCATCCTGTGAGTCAGAACCCCATTAACAAACTGAGATTTCGCATGAATCACAGACCAGCTTTACTTTCCATACACAATGTGTAAATATTTTGCATGGTATGGGGGAGTGGGGTGCTCACAAAAACGTTAATACTGAATTTCATCAGAAAAACAAAAGAATGTATTGAAGTAATTGTGGACTAGTGTGCAGTATTCACAATTTGAATAAATATTGTTACACTAATACAATAGGCTTTCTGCTCCAAAGTATGTACGATATTCACAAATCAAAAACCGCTATTAGTAATTTGAATACGAATAGTTTAATTTTTCCTTCTTTAGGGTCTCCCTTGCAACAATGCCAAAGGCATAAGGGGACAAGAGTCAGGTCATTGATGGAAACTTTTAATTAAGTGGAACCTTTGCTCATCCACCATTTGATTCTGTGACTGTTTGTGGGACACTGTTGTGCACAATTGGCAGTTGCATTTTGTTTCACCCACAAAATACACACTTTACAATAAATTCTGTGCTTTGCTATATATTGGAAATGTTTAGTTTATGTGAACAATTTAGAGGGAAACGTGATTCTTAAACAGCACTCTGATTCCATTCATCTCTAGAAAAAACAATATTCAGGAAATGTTGTTCACTCCTTTTTCTAAGACAATGAAAGTGTGTCTATTTGGGGAGGTGAAAAGCAAAAAGATTTGGATGTGATTATTTGATCAATTACTGAATTCAATGTGAAAATGAGGACACAGAAACTAATCAAATACTACGCTGCATTTTTAGGGCATCTGATTGCATGTTGAAGCAATAAGATGAAACAGTTGTCAGTCTGACTCATTTGGTAGCAATCTCTCCTCTGAGTCAGACAGTTGTGGGTTCAAGACCCATACTAGGACTTTGAGCTCATTGTTTAGGTAGACATATCATTGGAGTACCTGGAGGAAAGCTGGGTTGTACAAAGTGCTGCCCTTCGGGTGAAATATTAAACCATATCTAACATTAAAGTTTCTGTGGCACTATTTGAAAAGTGAAGAGAGTTTCTCCAAGTGTCCTGGCTCAAAAATCCCCTTGGTAGAATTGTTCATTCACTTTGTACCTGTTTACAGGACCTTACTGCGTTAAAATGGCTGCTGGATTTACCGACAAATATACAGTCACTACACTTTACAGAAAGCTCTGTGGTTGGATATAGGGGGTGAGAAGTCCCTTTATACAATCTATAGTTTGACTGGAATACACACTAATATATCTTTGTGCTAGGTACAAGGACTGGTGAGAGGGTGCAAGATTAATGGAATTAAATGAATTTGCCTCTTGGGTGCGATACAAGCACAAGTGAGGGGGTGCATGCTTCCTGGAATAAACACCAGTCTGACCCTTGTGTACAGTACAAGCACTGGAGAGGGAGCTCAAAATTCATATTTCCCATCCTGAGAGTCCTTATATTTCACAGATAGAAACCCACGCACAGTTGCATCAGTTGATAGAGACCACAAAGGATAAATAAGCTTTTTGTTTAATGTCATGATGTTTGTATTCCACACACTTATTACATCTAGGCTCGACTATGCCAACTCCTTGCTTGTCGGCCTTCCCAATTCTTCCCTCCGCACGCTGTGGATCATCCAACACTCTGCAGCTCATGTCCTCTCCTGCACCAGGATCCATGACCCTATCATCCTAATTGACAGCCACATTTCGCCCAAAAATATACAGTCAATTCACTTTATGGTATATTCAGTGAAGCGCTTTGAAACAACTAGAGAATGTGAAAAACGCTATATCAAATTCAAGGATTATTATTATTTTTATTATTAACTCTCACCAGGCTCCACTGGCTCCCCATTCCCCATGGAGCGGGGAAAATCCATGGATAGAGTTCAAAATCCTTGTCCTCACCTTCAAAGCCCTCCACGGCCTTGCTCCTTCCTCCCTCTGTGACCTGCTAACCCCTTATCAACATGTCCGCTCCTTCCGCTCAGCAGGCTCTGCCTGCTACATGTTCCCCGCCCAACCCATCCCACCATCGGCAGTCGGTCCTTCAGCCTCTCTGCCCCCTTTGGAACTCCATCCCACATTCCCTTTGCCTCGCTTCCTCCTTTGCTTCCTTCAAGACACACCTCAAGACTTTCCTCTTCGACCGTGCTTTCAGCCACCCTCCTACCCCCCCTGCCCTGAAACCAAACCCCTGCTTGGGTCCAAATCCCTAACTGTCCAGTGCCTTGGGACAGCCTCCCGAAGTGAAAGACACTATACAAGTGTAACTTGTTGTTGTTGTTTGTAGCTTTCACCTTCAGTAGACAGAAATACATTGAAATCCTTTGCTGATAAATTTGCCCTTTACCTTTCTGGTACTTGTGGTCTCCATCAGCCAGTGTGATGGTGACAGTGATGATATGGTTGGAATGAAACGAATGGCTCTTCCCACTACATGTTGTGGGTTACAGGGTGGATTTGCTGGTTGGTTCAGGAGTCTGGAGACATATACCATCCTCAATCCGCTCCACGCGTTTACAAATAATGTTACGCTGTGATTCGGAAACAAAGACATTAACAAACCCAGATGATTTATGAATCACAGATTTGGTGTGCTTTGGATTTTTTAAAAAAATCCTGCACTTCACGATGCCCAGTAAGTAAAACCAAGAAAGGCTCCTTCTACCCCCCCACACACACACCCCACACACACAGTTTTAGTAACTAGTATTGGGATGCCACTCACATCACCATAGAGAGAGAAAATCAATGTTCTTTACCCACTTCTTTAATGCCCCAGGTTGAAGGGTGATTTTAGCGGTGATGGACCATTCCCACCTTCAAACACAAGGCTGCAAGGCGAGGTGGCTGGAGTGCCTTGTGTGTGTGTGTGTGTGTGTGAGAGAGAGAGAGAGAGAGAGAGAGGTGTGTGGTGCTGGAGCTTTGAATGCAGTATCTGAAATTGACTGCTTTTTAATCAATGCTGTGGAAATGGGATGTGTGCTTCCTAACGTCATACCCTGTCTTTCACTTAGGGGGCTTGGGTGTTCAACAGGAGTAAATAGGGTGTACTCATCTGGAGAAAGGTTTATCTGTCATTTCGCCAGCTGCAGGATATGATTCTAATTCCACACAGACTGTTTCTGCCCACAAAGCCATTATATCGCTCTCTGTACCGCCTAAACCCAATCAGTCAGCAAATAAAGATTTGTATTCAACCATTATAAACCCACTCCTGATTAAAACTTGCACTCAATTCCCTTCGTCTCAGTTGCAAAACAGGATTTACCTGTGTAGTATATGTTTATACAGCAACTGCTGTAATTTCATGTTAAACGAATGCCACTATTTCAATTTAAAATAGGAGGGCGAGGACTTGTACCCCTTGTTTCTACTTCTGGGGAAAATCACATTTGATTCTTCATTTCCAATATTTTTTTGTTTTCCAATCATAATTCTGTCTATGACAAGAGTTTACTGGACTGTAAAGACGTTTCTATGCAAGTGTGGGTGTGTGAATACTTTCAAGGCAGTGAAACATTATCGGTAATCAAAAGGTTAAACTTCCCACACGTTCAGCAAAGCAATTCGATTTGATTCCTTTCTACTTAAATCTAAATCAAAAACACTTCTAACCCATTGCAGAGGTGTTATTAATACGTGGCTATCACACTCCTATGTGACCATTAGCTCCACAAGGAAGGTCAGGACTGAGAAGGGATGAAAATCATCAATCTCAACTGCATTATTTGAACGATCAAAGAGAATTTGATTGCAGAAACTGGCAAACGAGCCTGCAGATTTGGTCGTATAATGAATAAATAAAGAACATTAACACTGAGGGGGAAACGAACCTAATTTATGCAACGTTGCAACAGTAGTAGTACAGATTATTAGTATTATTATTGTTAGTATTACAGATCAAATGGAACAGGGGCTGGACCGATCAGATAGGAACACTGAATAAAGTTGGTGCACACGAGATGAGGATTCTTGAGTTTGCAAAAAAAATAATGGAATGGCAAAGAATATACTCTGATCTGAGCCTTCACTGGGAGGCGAGGCTGACGGTTCCACGTTACAACTTAACACACACACACACACACACACAAAAAAAAAGACGTTGCCTTTTGCAAGATTTCCCGTGGGACGTTAGTTAAAAGGGAAGCGAGAATTGCAGCAGAGATGTGTCAGAAAGTTGAGTCGGAGTTGGACTGAAGCGACGGCTGTTATCAGTCACGTATCTCCAGGCGGTGAGTGAGTGACGGGCGGAGCTGCTGACGTGGTTGTGCTGTTGCAGGAATGCGATAAGACATTCCGGTCAATGAAGCGTAACCAGGAGCCTCCCTCCTCCTCCTCCTCCTCCTCCTCCTCCTCTCCTCTCCTCACTGCCCCCCGGGGAAGCACATAAAACCCACGGCATGGCAGCAGCGTCTCAGAGAAAAGACAGCCACACCAGCCAGACAGCCACACCAGCCAGACAGACAGACAGACAGACACACAGCAGACACACAGACCGGGGAGACCAGTCACCAAACCACCAACCGTCCTCCCAGACCCGAAAGTGAGTACATCCATTCTCCCGGACCCCCGTTTAAACCACTGAGGAGTTCAGTTTATTGCCACCACTGTCTCATGTTTTACGTGGAAGTTGCATTGCATGTCCTCAGGTGGTGCTCATGTCGGGACAGTCAATGGGGAGACAGACACTCGTCTGGGTTTAGGCGATTGTAGCGCATGTTTCAAATGCAAAGCCTCGTGTGCTGTTTAAGTGGAATATTTGCTTAAATAATAATCGATGATACTCTTTGCATTTGATAGAGAGCCTGATCCCGGGGTGGAAGGGTTACACTGTACTTAAAAGGATAACCGATCCGAATAACAATAGGTGTGAAACGTTTGGGGGGTACGTGTTACATAGGAGGTCATTTGTGATAACAGCTTTGACGTGTCGGGACATAAGGGATAATGCATTCCAGCGACAGATTGTGAATTTGCCTTTTCTATCATGTTTTGGGGACTGCTGTGAATTATCACTGTGCGTTTTCATTCTTTGCCCCACAATTAGAAACGTCCAAAGGCGGCGTTTGAGCTCTGAGTGCATTTGTTTCTCTGTAAAGCGATGCCGTTTAGATGTACTGCTCAACAAGATCTCAGAGCCGAAGCCAACATTCCCAGTAATGAAATGTAGGTTTTGGGAATCTATTTACGATCCTCGCTTTATGCCACTTCTGGATGTAGATGGCAACAGCCCTCATGGCTTTATAAACTGAAATGAGTGTTCCACTCGACGTTACCTGGCAATTTACTAAGCAGATGCTGAAGCTTCAACAGAAAAAGCTTCTCCTGGTAAAGTGTAGGCTGTTCGGGGAGTAATTAAATGAACTTAACGCCCACAAATATACAGTCAATTCACTTTACAGTGTGTTCTGTGAAGCGCTTTGGGACATCCTCCCGATGTGAAAAGCGCTATATCAAATGCAAGGATTATTATTATTATTATTAAAGCGGCACTTTTTTTTCAGATGGAATGCATTGGAAGTATTGATTTTATAACTAAGACCCCTCTTGTTCCCTTCCAGATGCAGGGCAACATGAAGCTATGGCTGGGAGTGCTCACGTTTGCTTTTTGCATGCTGATCTGCATAGGAACTTTGGCTGATGCTTACCCCTCCAAGCCTGACAACCCCGGGGAGGGCGCTCCTGCAGAGGACCTGGCCAAATACTACTCAGCCTTGAGACATTACATAAACCTCATCACAAGACAAAGGTGAGACTTAACATGAACATCATTCCTTCTCAACTTCGCTCATTTGAGTCGAGTCCAGAGACAACGAGGTTTTCCCTGAGCTTCTTGTCTTTCGAGATGAGTCCAGATAGGGGGGAGGTGGGGGGGTCAGGCAGAGGGAGCCCCGACATTTAGAACTAATGTGCAACTTTTGCTGTTAGACAATAGAAGGAAAATTGAGAGGTTCGTCAGTGTATTTGTTAAAACGGATCTCTAGGTATTTGAAAGACATAATGTATGCATTGTAATTTCGGAGATGTTGGCCTTCCATTGAGACTTTAACTGAGGTCCAAGCTGCCTGTTCAGGTGAGTTTTTTAAAAAAAAGAATTGCACGATTCAAGAAGAGAAAGTTGCTTCTCCTGAAAGTTGTTTGCCAGCCAACAACGCCCTTAAAATTGCTCATTTCTTTCTGGCTGGATGTAGGGCATTACATGTGAAAATTGTTTGCCAATTCCAACTACCAGTACATGGTCACTGTACAGTAAATCCTGTGAGGCTATTTGAGACATTTCAACAACGTGATAAGGCATTATTATCAGTTGTAAGGATTATTACTATTTAATAATGTACTGAGCAAACTAACTGCTAATAGCTTCTGACATAGGTGCATTGAAAAACATAATCTAATGTCCAGGTTGTTCCTAACCTCAGACAATCTCAGTGGCATTTCGTGTCATTTTCCATTCATTGATGTATGGCATTTGACAATGAGAGATTATTGCAGGTATCAGATCAGTCCAAGATAGCAGGCACATTTCCCGGTTTAGGAGATATTGTTCATCCACCTGTCCACATGCAAAAACTTTACTATTTATCGCTTATTCCCAATTTGCAGAATAACATTTCAGTTGCTGAGCCCACCACTTCAAAACTAGGTAATAACTAAACACAGTGGAAAGGACTAATCCTAATCTTTAATTAATATTTATAACAAAATACTGTATTGTCATAACACCATAGAGTATAGAATAAAATATGTACTTGTGCGTTTAAAGCTGAACATCGCAAATTTATGTTGTAAAAATGTGCTGTGTATGTGAGAGCACACCAAAGCCTGATCATACTTGAGTAAAATAAAAACATAAGGGAGCACTTTTTACTTGGTCAGTGGGAGACTTGACACATGTGGAATTCCATCACCATTCTTAAGAGTATGCAAACCAGACTGAGAATTCAACATGTGCATGCCTTGAATGCATAAAAAATTCCCTGTGTCTGGATGGAATGGGTAACTCTTTATCTGGGGAGAACACCCTGCTTACCTAATTCTGGAGAGCCATCAGCCGTGCCTTGAATTATGATGGACCCACCTGCCTCAAGAATCAGACTGTGGATGCCACCACAGAGGGTTGACTTGATTCGAGTATTTTGTTGTCAAGCATTTCACCTTGGCACTGGTTCAGATTCGAGAAGAGCTTGCTTATCTCCCCCCTCCACTCCTCCTCCCCCCCACTTCTCCCCCCCACCCCCCACACACACACAATATTTGGGTCCAATTGTCTGGAATGTATGAAGAGAGATGTTCCAAAGGAAATAGATTTTTACAGGATAAGTAAGCACGCTCAAAGATGGGAAAGTTTCTGAGTACATACCTTGCAAAAATGTGATTCCTCCAATAAAGATAGAGCCAAACATTGGGCGTTGTAAACAACATTTAGAGGCGTGTTTTGAATGGAAAGCTCAGTGAAAATTGCCAGCTGATTAATAATCATTTGATATAAGCACCTTATTGTGTCATCGAGGCATCGCAAAGTGCTTCACAGGATTTTGTTGTGTAGGCAAATGTGGCAGCCAATTTGTGCACAATAATAATAATAATCCTTGTATGTTATATAAGCGCCTTAAGTCCCACAAATAGCCATGAAGTGAATAATAAATTTTATCTGAGAGATTGTTGACCAGGACACTGGGAGAAACTCCTGTCCCTTTTGGAATAGTGTCGTGGAATCTTTAACATCCACATGAACAGACAGACAGGACCTCAGTTTAACAGCTCATCCAAAGGAAGGCACCTCTACCAATGCAACACTCCCCCAACACTGCATCGGAGTGTGAGTTCAAACTCTTGAAGTAGGGCTTGAATGCACAGCCTCTGACTCAGGTGAGAGTGCTACCAACTGAGCCATGCTGACATCTAATAACTTCCTCCACAAAGGACTTGTGTTTTTTTATTGCACTTGATCAAATTTAAAGATCGTAAAACACTCTGTCTGTTCAAGTGGATGTTAAAGATTCCACGACACTATTCAAAAAGAGACGGAAGTTTCTCCCAGGTAATAAGCTCCATCTTAGTGAATGTTTTTTTTCTTTAGACAAATAAGTTAGTCATTTCTTGGAAGCAAAACCCTGCGAACAGTCATGAGGTGAATGACCAACTTGTCAGGAGATTTGTGGTCCAGAACACGGGAGAAGTTCGTGAGAGATTGAGGCGTTTGTTCTTATGAGGCAGTACTTGCCCACATTAATTGACAGATAGGGAACCATTTGGTAATTCTCGATGTACGTTTGGGGCTCAGTAATTCACTTTAGGTGATTGTAATCATTTTGCAACAAAGAATATTTCCTGATTGGCTCCCAGCCATCAGTGTTGTCCTGTTACACATTGTGCAGCTAATGGACCAGATGAAATTAATCGCATTGGGGCCACGTTACCCAGAGTTAACACACAATGATATTTCACCAATAATGTGATAAGAATCTCAGTTTGTCTGATTCAATACTAAAGCATGAGGCATTAAGACATGTTTAGTGCAGATCCTAAGCCCCGCTAACTCCATCAGTAAAACAACACAGAGGTCGCACCAGTGGAACACGATTCAATTTTACATTTGATGTAAAACATCTGCTTTAAGGGAGAGAAGAGAGTAGTCTGGACAGAGTTAATCACTCAGTTCTGGTGATAACAGGAGGATTGGATGACTCGCTACATCTTGTCTGAGCTGACAAATCGGCTGGAGGCTGAAAACCATCCCCAAGACTTTAGCTTCCCCAGGGGGATTGAGCAGTGAAAAAGGGTGACTAGTAATATTGCCATAGTCTATAGTCTCACATTCTTCATGCATTTTCGCAAACTACTTTAACAATCTATATTTTTTTTGCATCTCCATCTGGCCCATTGACCCACTGTAGTAAATGATCCTAATTGAGCCTGACTGCCCGACTGAATGAACGACAGACTGTGCCTGAAATTTAAATCTCACCTTTGAAACTTTCTTTCAAACCTACAATGAATGGTACTTCACAGTGCTCAGGAAAAGCGTGTGTGTCTCCAGCAAAGTAATCTGACCTCTTTTCTCTCTCCACCCTCCACCACCTCAACATTGTTCTGCAATATATTTTGTGGAGTCCTGTAGCTCAGCAGTTAGAGCACTTGCTTTGCAGGCGAGAGACCTGGGTTTGATTCCCGGCAGGGTGAAACTTGGGCAAGTTTCCTTGCTCCACATGCTTGATAATAATCCCTCAAAAATACAATAATAAATTGGTCATTTCAATCCACGACTGTTTGTGGGACACTGCTGTGCACAATTGGCTGCCGCATTTCGATCACAAATATGCAGTCAACTCACTTTACAGTCTATTCTGTGAAGCGCTTTGAGACGTCTAGAAGACTTGAAAAGCGCTATGCCAAATGCAAGGATTATTATTATTATATTCTGTGTTATACACACAAGGTAACAAAACACATCCAAATTAAGAAATGCTTGATCACCACTGACAACAGCCTGTTTAAAACACGGTTGCATTACAATCTGGAGCTACACGATGTAGATAGTGGCCGGAAAATGTGATCAAGACTCTGTGTCTTATTTCAGCTTCTTTGTGGCAACGCCACTAGCCACACTGAGATAGTTTAATGTTGTTGTCGCTGTGGTTCATTCAGTCACTATGTCCCTCAGAGCTCTTGTTGCACAGTAGCAAACTGTGGCAGAATTTTTTTAGCACACACCACCCTCCAGTGGCAGGAAAATATCTACATCTGCTAGAAAAATTAACCACACCCACCCCAGTACACTAATCCCAGCATTAAGGTAAAATGATCCCCACCGAGTACTGATCATATCAAGGTTCGGATTTTCCAATGAAACATTGATGGTCCAGACCTTATTCGGAAAATATAGGGCAGTAAAATCTACAGTCAATTCACTTTACAGTATATTCTGTGAAACACTTTGAGATGTCTATATATATGTACATATATAGTATTTATACAGTGCCCTTCATGCAGGGAAGCAAATGGGAGTGCTTGGTAATTATCAATGTAAATTTTGAGCTCAGTAATTCACTTGAACCGGGTAGCATCTTGGAGCAAATAATAATAGTTGGGTCACCGCTGTTAGAGATTTACAAAAGGATTTCAGCTCCTCATCACTCAGTTTATTAATTAAAAAAAGTATTGTAACATTTTTGCTTTAAAAAAGCTAATAATGTCAACATGACAACCCCATTTTAGTATCTCCTTATGCAGAATGTCTGTTGTAGAGCTCAGCCTTCCACATCTTGCATTTCCCACAGCAAATTGCAACTGGACAACTAGAATGGGGTGTGCACCACCTGTGTATAATCTTACCTTGGTCACAGTCTAACAAGACAAACTACACAGACCATATTGGGGCCATGTTATCCCGAGTTAACACACAATATGTTGCACAATTGCACAACGAATTGTACAATGAGAAATTTTGCAACTTTTCATAGCGAGAGAAACAAAGTTCCTTAAAGCAATGACTATTTGTTTTAGATCCGCATTGGAGCACAACTGATCAAGCAGTCCACATGGCTGCTTTTATAGTATGCAGATTTCCATAGTTATTTATCTGAGACAGAAATGCAACACATTCAGATGATGTAAAATTTGTTTAAACCATCCATGATTCTCATTTAAGACCACATGCTGGAGGTGAAATGAAAACAAAATATGGAATATGTCCAACAAACCTGCAGCTCAAACATCGCTTCTCTGTCACTATCCCAAGGTAACAGTATCACAAAGGCTGGAAGGGCAATATAGACTTCTCATGCCGCCAGGAGTACATTATTGCTATTGCTAAAACCAGTTTTTATTGCCCATTGAGACAATTTGCTCTGGTTAGTCCTATTTTATGACATAAAGCCATGTAACTTTTTTGTTATTTGTTTGTGATCCTCTTAATAAAATAAGAAAACAAGGCTTGGGGCAGACAACTGATGGATGAAAACGAGGACAATGTTGTCTCTTTAATCTTTAATATTTTCTTAAAATAACGAGTTCAACCAATGTGCATTTTTCATAATGAATCGGATATTATCCACATCATTTAAGTGAACTACATATCCTATATTTTACCAATTTAATGAAGTTGTAGACAAAGAAAAATATAAATTCTATATTTGTATGCAAATCAAATTCAGAATTAAACCACAATGTGAACTCGTTTGTTATGTGCATTCACATTCTGAATCTATGAACATACTGCTGAAGTTATCTGCTGCTGAATTGGGCTGAGCTAATCTCCTGAACCATTCTGGTTGGATTATAAATGCATTAATGCCATATGTTTGTCTGTGACAGGTATGGAAAAAGATCCAGCCCCGAGGCACTGATCACTGATCTGCTGTTGAGAGAAAATTCAGAAAGCATTCCTAAATCCAGGTGAATATACATATTAAATGGCTTTCTGTCAAGACAGCTTTTTCATAATACTGCAGAAATGTACAGGTAAAAGCACCATAGTTGGGAGAATAGATATGCCATTTGGAAGTTATGGGTGGGCAAGGATCCAAGCATGGAACCAAATAGATTCCACCACATGGATTTATTTCATCAGCTCAGTTGAAGACAAGGAGTGTATTTAGACGTTGGTGGGTTCCACTCAGCTAAGAGAGTTTATGAGAGGGTCTTTCTAAAGTTCACAACCTTTTCATGTGTCACACAAGAATCTAACAGTACATTCTTTAAGCACAATGTAATGCTCAGTGGAGACACACTATATGCTGCCTTCCAAATGTCTATGAGTGTGAGAGTGAATGTAATGCACCCGAAAATTCAAGACTGAAATTAAGACTGTCAAAGATTTGTGTTTGAAAAGCTGGAGGTATTGATTTGAACCCAGCTCCATTATTTATACATTCCTGCTCTAAGTGTCGGGAAGCAAAATTCAATATAGCAATAATAAGGGCACCAGAAATTCTAGAAGCTGCTGCTTTATTTTACATAAATGTCCCTTATGTGCCTGAATGTATCATATTTTAAATGGGTCCTTATTTTCAGAAATGGAGCTTTATTATTTATGCATTATCTGAACATGGGCCTGACCCGAAAGGGAATTGGATAGTCTCGGTGGACAGTCTTATTCTTAATCTTTTTTATGTTCTTAACCTGGCATCATGTGTAATATGATAAGTCAGTAGCTATAGTTTGATGACTAGAGATAGTATATAACTATTGAGATTTTTAATGAAAATGGGCTGTATTGAAACAATAATAAATATTAATATTTAATTATTCAACGAATAATTCTCATTTTTTAAAATGTAAATGAATCGTTTAAAATGTAACTGAAGAGTTCTGCTTCTGAAAGTTGCATTGTTAATCAAGTCTTAAACTGTAACTACACAAACAAGTTTGCTTTACTAAAATCTATTCACCCTTTAGTCAGTCTGCTAACCAGACTGACCATCAATTTAATGTGGACATGTAGTCAGCCCGTGATGCTAGAATTGAGATTCTGGAGCTTAATGAATATTATGTATCATAATTTCGCAAAACATTTCACAAAAAATATTAGCACTTATACTTTTTAATTCATTAAAGTGGGGGGATAAATAACTCACCAAATATGCTCTCAGCTCGGAGTCATTTCAGCCACCCACACTGACTGCTGATGTACAGCTAATTCAGACTTTGTAACCATTCTGTAACCATTATTTACTGTGGCACTTACATACTGACTCACTTATACTGTGGCACTTACATACTGATTGTTCACACTTGCATAACATCTGCACTCTTGTGCGCCCCCTCTCTGTGAATACATAAAAAAATTAAAACACATTGAAAAACATTATTTTTCTCAGCATAAGAAATATCAAATTTGTAATATACTGTACTTTCTGCTTATTTATAGGTACGAAGATCTTTCCGTATGGTGATGAGAACTCAGACTTTCTTTAATGTATCCCACATTTTGCAGTCAACATTCCATTGCTATAAAATGAGACATTCTGACTGTTTTCAAGGCATCTCATTCTATTAACTGCCCAAAGACAGCCAATGCATGCAGCCATCACTGAAAAATCTGTAGAAAGTTTTTTTTCCTGCATCATACTGTATATAAAGTTTATTTAAATCAATGACATGTGCACTCAATATGTAATACACATTATGAAAGTGAAAAAGAAATTATTATTATTATTTGTATGGTAGAAATTGTTTTGTGCTATTAAAATTCAGTTACAAAAACAATGCGGTCTAAAGGGAAGCCTGTCTAAACGTATCCAAGAACATGATGTAAAACTGAAGCTGATAAACCATTGCTTTATCAAGGTTTCCTCTGATGAATGACGTATAATGCTTTCAGGGCTTCAGCTGAATAATCTTGCACTGTGCAAGTAATGGATAAACATTTGAAGAGGAAGAATTTAAAAGAATATGGAGAGTAAGCAGGGAATTGGGATTAGGTTACTTACTCCATTGGATCAGCTAGCAGCTTTGTGCTTTCTAGCACAAGCCTTCAAATACCTATCACTCCCATCATTGTTATTCTCCCAGTACTTCTTCAGATGGAGATTCTTATTCTGACCTTCACATATTTTATGACTCACTCCTCTGTGCCTCACCAGTTGTTCCAGTCCTATTCTCTTACCATATCTTCTGTTCTTCCAATCTGATTCCTCACTCCCTCGGTCCCACCTTTGTTTGCCGAGCTCTAAGCCACTATACAGTACTCCATTCTTTGGGACTCCATCAAAATCCCTTCACCTGGTTCCTTCTCTCCCTGCCTTCAAAAACCTCTGAAAAATGTAACCCAATGATCATGCCTTCAGTCAAAGCCCTCAATTTCTTCTCCTATTTTCCCTATTCAATGACCTGCATTGCCTTTGTAAAATGTTTTGATCATTCATTCTATTTGTAAGTTGTTGTTGTAGCACCAGCTTGGGCTCAATTGGTCAAACGGCCTTCTTGTATTCTGTAATTTCTATGACCATGTTCCATTATAGACTTCTTTCATTTATAACTGATTTTTCACAATCTGTATCTGGGTGCTTATCCCAAGTTTAAATGTGGAATTCTTCATAAAATATGCTTCAGTACTTCAACATAACGTTCAAAGATTTCAGTCTAAATCATCTGCTCTCTGTTGTTAGCATGAACCTATGTGTAGATTGGAAGCACCAGTTGCCTCCTACTAGAGAAGTCACATGGTTAACATGATGCTAACAATAAAGTCACTTTCCAGGAGAAGCAGCCAGCGAAGCATTATAGTCAGCCTCAGCATTTGAGGGCTCGTAAGGGTTAAGCTAACATGTTTAGATAAAGTTTGAATGCCCAGGAATAAAGTCCACCAGCCTCTTGCTAAAGTGCACACTTTGTTAAAAACTACAAAAGCTATCGACTTAAAGAAAAATGGTACTCTTATTCAGTAAATGGAAAAGGCTTCCAAAGGAAAAGCATTTGGGGGCATTATGGTTTCAAATGAAGTATGCATTTAGGTGAGTAGGTGGTACTTCTTTCACTTACACAGAATAATCACTAAAGCTGAACACATATGAAGTGCTTTGACAATAGGTTATAAACACAACACTGCCTGAAAGTGGAAACTGGAATTACTGATCCATCCTGCATTTTTGTTTTTTCAGTATTTTAGCACTTCATTATTACTAATAATCTTCTATCTAGAGCTGGTAATGATGAAATGTCTCAAAATGCTTTTCAGTAAGCTAAATGCATTGCTAAGTGCATTGACTGGATTTGTAGATAAATGCAACAGCCAATTTGTGCACAGCAATATCCCACAAACAGTGAGAAAGTGAATGGCTGATTAATCTGGAAGATTCTTGGCCAACAATAAAGCTGCCTTCGCTTTTGAATAGTGCCTTGGGTTCTTTAACATCCACTTGAACAAATAGGCAGGATCTTGGTTAAATGTCTCAACCAAAGGCAGGACCTCCATCAGTGAGCACTTCCCCAACGCTGTACTGAAGTGTCAGCCTAGACTTAGTACATGGTTTGTTACAAAAATACAAGCTTGGGAATCTTTACATTCATGATTTTATTTGATGAATATTTTGAGTTGCTGTATATTTTTTAGTTTCTTTTGTTCTAATTTGGATATATAATCAGGACGAACAAGTCTCCATCTGCCTGTTCGAGTGATGTTAAAGATCACAAGATTAGTCTGGATGAAGAAAGCTGTTCAGCACATCTGATTTCATCCCTCCTGAATACTCACCCTACAGCCTCCCCATCAGCTCATTAAGCTGCTTTTTAAATGAGTTACTGTCCTGGCCTGTACCACCTTTCCTGCCAATCTGTTCCAGTCATCACCCTCTGTGTAAAGAAAAGCTTCCTGGAGTCTGTCCCGAAGTTGTCCTTCACAACTCTAAACACTATCTTTAAATATACGTATAGTTTCCATTCTCAAAACATATCTCTGCTCCTTTCTACAATTAGCTCACTGAATGCGAATTTCAAGTCTACACATCATCTACTCCATAGCCATGTACTTATCACGGCAAGCGGGGATTCTTCCTACTCAGCTCCTGTTAACCCTACAGATAGAGAGGTCCGAGTTTGCCTACAAAATACAGCTAGTCAAGCAACTGGAAGATTGCCAAACAATTTTCTCAATGGCAATCTATATGGTTTGAGTTGGTTACATGGCAGCAGTACCTCAATGCACACAATGAGTTCCCCAAGCTTTGGCTCTTAATGGTCTCCAGAATTAAGTAAGTGTGGTGCATCCATTCCAGACACAGGGAATGTTCCATGTGGCATACATTTGTGGAACTCTAAAGCATAGTGATGTGTTTCCGCATGTATCAGACATTCCCAAAAAGTTGTATTGCAAATTCTTTAACCACTGTAATGAGGCTGGGCTAAACTGGATAATGGAAGCTCTTGGATAATGAAAAATACAATTTCTCTTTTAATGGTTGTTGGAATGGGTTGGCCTTCCACGACAGATAGATAAGTTCAGAGATGAACAATAATTCTGTGACCCTAAATCATCATTTATTTACAAAGATAAAATTGAAGCTTATCTCATTGAAGAAAAAGATTTTTATAGGCCGAATGCAAGTAAAATCATGTTGCTCAGGGCTCTGGTTCACCTGGACTACTGTTTCCTGTGATATAAGGGGGCTGTCCAGGACCTGAAGTCAGTGCAAAGTAGAGCAATAAGAATGATCACCAATGTTAGTGGAATTAGCCATGAGCAGTGATAGACAAGTTAGGGCTTCTCTGAAAACAAAGGGCTCTGTGAGAGCCATTTATGGAACCATATAAGATTTTAAATGGGAGTCAGCAAGTAAACCCAGAACAATGCTTTCAGATGTGCCAAGAGACCAGAACAAAAGGACACATGTTGCAAAGGGCAATTTTAGGACATAAAGCGCGAGTATTTATTTTAGCTGGTTAGACTCCAGCTGTATCCCAATGGTACTGGGGTCCCCAGGTCTTGGCTCTTGCCAACCTGCTCCTAATACCTTCCATAATTAAGTAAGCAGGATGTGTCCCTCCAGGTAGAGAGTGTGCAATCCATTCCAACAATCTATCTCTGGGATTTCCACGTGTAGGAGGGATGTATAGAAATCTCAGCTTGGTTTGGATACTCTTAAGCATGATGATGGGTTTCTGCATTTGAAATGTAGCTGTCTGATCAAAAAAAACTGTATATGATACCAAACACTTCACTGGAGAACAAATTGGTGTATTGGGGGGCAAATATTCAGAAATTATTTTTTTTTGGGGGGAGTGGATATTTATGCAATTTTGCATTGTCAGAATATTATATTGCTACTTATGATTTCAAGGAGCTGGTGTGTTCAGGGTCCTGGGGGTAATGGAAGGGCGAGAGGAATTGGTCTTTGTTTTGGGTCGTATAAAAAATACACGGAGCATCCTGGATAAAATATCAATAATTTATTTTAATAAATACGGCAATCCACCTTTTTATATAATGGCTATTGTGAGACAATGTTGTTCACAAATTAGCCTTCACATTAACCTACAAAATAAACAGTCACTACAGTTTAAAATAAAAATTATTTTCGAACTGCTTTAGACATTTCGATGTTGTGATATATCAATGCAAATGCATAGATAATTATAATGGTCATCAAAAAAAGCTGTTAATCTGCCATTATAAAATGATAAATGCATTAGAAAGATCACCAATCAGAATTAAATATAATATGAAAAACATAACAAGTTGGCATTTCAAAAACATATGTATGTTCCCTAAGTGTACCAACTGTCAGTGTGCTCCAACCTCCTGCTTTGATTTTTCAATGAACTCCAAGCTCTCTGAGGCAATAAAGGTGATATATAAATGCAAGTTATTGTTTTTATTATTGTTGTTCCAGTGCCCTTGTAGCTGTTTTCCCCAGCTCCAACATTCATAAAATCCAATTAATTAAAAACTCCACCACCCGCAGTTACTCAGGAGAAAACTCAGGCACTTCTTGTGGCTGCTGTGTGGGATGGTTTACCACATCCTTCAGCTCTGGGGTTGATGGGGGAATCTGCCAAACTGCTTAACTGAGTAGGACGTATTGTATACTATGGGAATCTGTGCTCACCCCACAGATTTCAAATTTCTCTTCTGGTAGAGGTGGTCTGGGCCTGGGGAAGAAGGAAGTCAGAGCAGGACACAATAATGTTCATCTGGTCGAGCTCCGATTCCATTAGGTGGCACGAGACACATAGTTAGATATTTAAGAAGGACAAATTTGCAAGGCTATGGGGAGAGAGCATGGGAGTGGGACTAAACTCTTTCAGAGAACCAGCACAGACACAATGGACCGAATGGTCCCCTTCTGTGCTGTATAATTCTATGAACCTACGATACGGGCTGGAAGGTAATCCTTGCCTCTGCCACTGTCTCCCACTGTTGTTCTAGGGAGGAGAATGATCATCCTTATGGAGTCCTGTAGCTCAGTGATTACTGCACTCGCCTCCCAAGGAAGGGGACCTGGGTTTGATTCCCGGATAAGGCATAACGTTGGGCAAGTTTCCTTACTCCATACACCTGTTTACCTAGCAGTAAGTAGGAACCCGATTGTTAATCGATTGGCGGATCGCTTTTCCGGGGGGAATAAACCCTTCTCCAAAAAAATAATAATATCACGACTGTTTGTGGGACACTGCTGTGTGCAATTGGCTGCCACATTTCTCCCACAAAATATATAGTCAATTCACTATACAGTATATTCTGAGAAGCTCTTTGAGATGTCTCAAAGATGTGATAAGGTGCAAGGATTATTATTACTATTATGCATTCCTCCTGCCCTTCGTTCCCATGGGGCGCTCCCACAACGCCTCCACTCCAATATCAGCCACCACACCTTCAGCCCCTACACCCCTGTGGCAGAAACTCTCTGCCACAATCCCTCCATCTCACTGCTCTTTACCTGTCTTCAGATCACACCTGAAGACTTTCCTCTTCATTTGTGCCAATGGTCACCTCCACTTCTCCCTGGCTAAGAATCCTCTGTTTGCCCTTCTAACAGTCTTTTCTACTTGCAATCACACTAAACAATTGCCCAAGAAACTGGGAAACTCCCTTTTCTTTTCAAGTTGTCCACCTGAATAGACAAACTGTACTTCTGTTTAGTGTCTCAGCTGCAGGTTGTCATCTCTGACAATGCAATGCTTCCCCAGGACTACTCTGGAATGTCAGCCTAAACTATATGAGTTCAAAGTCTTGACTTGGGGCTTGAATCCACAACATTCTCGAAGATGTCTCGAAGATATGATAAGGTGCTATATCAAATGCAAGGATTATTATTATATTCTGACTCAATAGGAAATTAATTAGAATTTTTCAAATCGCACGGAATGTGAGATAAGATAGCTGTGAGGAAAACTCCACATTTCTTTGAAATAACGGTAGGGACATGCTTTCACATCTGAATCACAAGGCAGATGGGACATAAAATAGTGATTAAATGGAAAAATAGATGATGATTTGGAAGTGACAAAATTGGGCAAGACAATGCATATTAAAAAGAGTCAATTTGAAATATGAAGACTGCCTAATGAAATTTTTTTTGGTGACTCACAAAATCTTCTATTAAGCAATAGGATGTATAATTAAACATA